TAAAAAACCAATACCTAATATATATTAAATATATTAGAAGAAACCAATCTTAATATACTGTACTGGAAAATGAATTTCGATAACAAACAAATTTCCAAACAAATTTCCCATCCTTTTAAGTGAGTTTCTTGTATATGGAAAGTTTTATGGAATTCTTTGTAATATGATTGTATTAATCTAAATCATTTAAGTATAAACTTGTCTTATACGAGGTCGTATAAAGACCGATATGATATATAGCACACATTTACATATAACGCCTTAAGGTACGTCTATAAATAGTATTTATATACATACATATATTCCAAAGAGGCATATTCTTATACAAATATATATGTAGATAAATTCGTGTCTATGTTTTCCAAATGATTCAATTCATCATCTTGCAGTGTCTTAATATTTATTTATTGATCTGGGAAGCTGATGCTGAAGAGACTCGACAAACTGTACTCGTGACAGCCCAACAACAACGACGACGACAACGGCATGAAGAAGAGGAAGAAGAAACACATGGCGTGTGAGCCCAAGGAGAGCAGCCGGAAGAGTCAGGGGCGAAGAAGGCTGGCAAGGCGGCAGCCGAGAAGGAGACCGGCGGGAGGGCAAGAGAAGACTTGAAAAGAGTGTGGCAAAGAGGCAGACGGAGAAAAGGCAAAGCAAAGCAGGCAAGGGAAGAGTCGCAGGAAGAGGCAGGTGAACGATCTGGAGGAGACTCTGTGAAGGGGGCACGACCAGAATCTCGAGAATCCGGCGAGGAGGGGTAGAGTCTGGGCACAGAGGCAAAGCCAGAAGCTGCCGCAGCGACAGGCAAAAGCGATTTCTGCCGAAGTTGGGGCAGCTGCCTTTTTGGCCTGGGCAGCAAGAAATGTTGTTTGCTGTTGTTGTTGTTGTTGCTGTTGTTTGCCTTAATCATCGCCAAAAACAAGTTTTGCGGTTTGTTGTTTGGCTTAGCGTTTAAAGACCGAAACAGCAGAGCAAATGCATTCATGAGTCGCCTGCCTCTGTCTCTTTCTTTACAGCTCTCTCTCCCTATCTCTCTCTCTCTTAGTTCGTGGCGTCCAGTTTCAGTATTGATCAATGTTATAGTTGTTGTTGTTGTCGCTCCATTTTTGCTGGATTCCAATTTCAATTCCCTCTTGATGTTCCCACTGGCTGAAGATGTTTTCTCATAAGGATACATCCAGAAAACATTTTTAGATCTCAAGCTGACATATCTCAAGTATCTCTGTGTTCTCCACTTTGTCCCATTTCGTAATGCGAATCAAGTCTTGCTTTATGTTTTCTTCCAGAATTTTCAGCTCTATTTGCTTGGCCTTTCCAGAGCGAATCACGAATTATGCTTGAATCACGTTTCATTTCACGCTTTAGCTACATTTTGATGGCTTTCTCAAGTTTGCCAAAAAGAATCGCAAGAAAGCAGCCAAAAAGAGAAGCGAAGAGTGTACCTCTTCTTCTGCTTTGTTTCTTCAGTTCTCAGGCTCATGATCCGCTGAGCCCAAAAGCGAGTCGTGCTAAGAGCTGTTGGTCAAAATACCTCTATGCCCACTCGAGGCTGTTGACTTAATAGACTTGTCCATCCAAAACAAAATAAAAATATCCAAAAGCCCCAAAGGTTCCGTGCAATTAAAATTCCAATTATTTTTCAACTCATTCCATTTCGTTCGCCGTCAAATCAGTCGATTAGTCTCCCATCAACAGTTTATGCAGATTCAGTAAGAAGAAGAAGACGCAGGCTTCGAGTTATATTTGGTAATGTTGGGGAGGGAGAGAGAGGCAGGTTTCGAGCTCTCTAGTGCAATCTCTGAGGGGCTCTATTCGTTTTTCCCCTTTTACCCAATTTACTGTTTAGAAATATTCCTCGGAATTCTTCTTTTCACTCTGTTTAAAGCAGCTTTTGCCATGCGGCGCAAAGTTTATAACAAAAGGAAGTAAACCAGAAAACAAAAATATTGAAGAAAAGTTTTCAAGAAACTTTAAAAAGTTGAGCTTAAGTCAGAGAGAGAGAGAGAGAGAGAGAGAGAGGGAGAGAGCGAGAAGAAAATCCCTTGAAGAAAATATACATTAATTATAATCTCTTCCACTTAAATTTAAATTGATTTCGTATACTTTGCGCGTTTAGTTGGAATTCGCTTCGATTTCACGGGAAATTGTGACTTTGACTCGTGCAAGTGATATGAGCTAAAATTGAGTTTCTTTTTTGATGTCTGCTCTAATGCTCCACTTTGATTATATCTTTCATAATTTGACAGTTTCGACTCACTTCCGCTCTCTGCTAAGGAGACCGAAGCTTTATAGCCATGACAGTATCTGTTCCCCTATATTTTTTCGCTTTTCCCTGCTCCTACACCTACACCTACACGACTCCTACTCATAACTCTCACTCTCTCTCTCTCTCTGTTACTCTGTCTCTGTGTCTCGGTTTCTCAGATTCTCTATCTCTCAGTATCTACTTCTCAGTCTAAGTCTGAGTCGAAGCTTCAGCCTCTTGTTCTGCAACACTCTCTACCTCTTCCCCGTGTAACTCTCAACTCCATCTCTCACTCTATATCAATTAGTCATATGCTTTTCTCCTTACAGCATTCACCTCAAATTCCATGGGATTTACATATATTTCATTTAAATTTCACATTTTTCGTCCTGCTGACAGCTAAAAATTTTAATTTAACCTATTCCCTCTCGCTCGCACGCATAGCTACAGCGCACAGCCTGCGTGCTGCCTGCTAATCACCTTTGGTGCTGCCTATTTTTTTTCTACTTCTACTGCTCCGTTTCTTCTTCTTCTTCCTCTTGCAGCTACTTATTTTTTTTTTCATTAAAAGCACGCCAACAAAAACACACATACACATACACACATAGACACATTTTTTTGCATAGCAGGCGCTTTCGTCCTTCTTTACGTCTAACTGTACTCGCGCTTTGCCCAAAAATAAAAATAACAACAAAAGCAGGAGCAAACGTTGCTACGCGCCTCTGCCGCTGTTTTTTTTGGCTTTGCTTTACTTCTGCTTTATGCTTCATTCGCTTCAGTATTTTTTTTATTTTTTTAAAAGATTTTGCGTCGGCAGCATTTGCAATAAGAACACGTTTTTTGTTGTGATTTTTTTTTGCGATTTGTTTTTGGCTGCAATTTTCATTGTGATTCATTTTTGGCTACTAAATCGGCCGTTTTACGGCTGCATTTTGGCTTATCTTTTGTTTTGTTATGCAGACATGAACCGGTTAAGCGGGTAATAATTGTTATTATTACGTTGCTGCGCTTTGCATTTTGCCTTTCGATTGTTATTGCAAATACACAAACAAATAACAACACACTCCGCACACACATTGCTACATATGTATGTACATATGTATGTGTAAGTGCTCAAAAACATATCAAATCTGCTGCGCTGTTTTATGATTAAAAAGAGGGAGAGAGAGAGAGGGAACATTAAGCTGTATTTAAGCTGCAGGCGCAGGGCAAATCAATGCGCCTAAAGAGCAAAGTCAAAGCAACGGCAGAGTGCGTTAGCTTGGATAAGAAACACCCACAAGCACACATATACACACACATGTAGGTTAGGCAAAGCACTAATTAAAGAGCGCAGCCAGCAGGTCTGCAGCATGTAAGATCGTAAGCAAACGCAAAACAGATGCATATCCACACACACACACACAAGACTACATGCACATTCATGATTTTAGCTTTAAGAGCGAGCTCAATCAATTTCTATTTCAAGCTGCAAGCGCACACACGCACACCTAAATTTCTATACATGCTGCACACACACACATGTTGATATTTATAGACTTAAGAGCGATTGGCATATTTGCAATTTGAAGAGCAAGCTGTAAGCAGGTAGCGCAGCTGCATCTGCTGCTGCACATGTTAGAGAGCGCTCGCTTGAGCGACATGCGATCACAAGCTGCGCTTAAGAGCACACACACACATACACGCACACACTTATATATATTTAAGGCAATTTATGTTGTTTCTTCCTTATTTTTCACACGTTGTTTTTGTTACTGTTGTTGTTGTTGTTGCTGCTGCTGCTGCTGTTGCTGCTGCATTTGGCTGGCTGAACCGGTTCAACGGGTTGCCGCACACTACACTCACACAGCCGAGCTCACGCACGCTTGCACTTTTGTTGTTTTTGGTATTTCTGTTATCTTCATCTTCTTCTTCATCTTTTACCTTTGCTTAGTGTTTCGCTTCTCTTCCAGCTTCTGTTTTGACTTTGACTGATGCTGTTTGATTTTGCATTAATTTTGCTTTAATTGCATTTTGCTTGTGAACTGCATTCGTATTATCGCTTTACTGCTCGCACTCTCACTTTTCCACTAAATAACAATAAAAAAAATATTTATCATCTTATTCTTATTCCTTTTCTTCTTTTTCTTCTTCGTGGTAGCTCGTTAAGTGCTTAACAAAAAAAAAACACGCGCGCATTTTGCAGAAAACAAAAACCTTTCCTTCTTTGTATTATTATTATTATTTTGAATTCTACTTAGAATTTGGCTCGTTTTGCCGGCGATAACGCGCGCGCGACTGAGTGAGCAGAGAAAACAAAAACTCACAAAGTTAACCACACACAAGAATATTTTACGGAATTTTCACGCTCTAGACTCGAAATCGAACCTCGCATCGAACCCGCTACGACGACCGCCTCGGACGGCTTTGCTTTTGCATCTGTTAACAGCGTGACTTGCGTTAACAGTGGCCACGCTATGCGGCGCTGTTACGACAACAGCCGACAGCTGCAACCGCTCTGTTAGCTCGCACGCAACCCGTAACGCACATGTTCGACGCGTGTTCGATAGCCAAGAGAGCGAGCTGGCTCTCTTAAATGTGTGCGGCTTAGCATTCTGCTTAGCTGCAATTAAACCGTTGCAATTTGGCAATAGCCAGACCTTCTTTATTTCACCCTAAACCAATTAAAGCAACGTCACAAACACACGCACGCACGCATGGTAATGGACAAATTTTACCGATTGCAAATGAAATTGGCTTTCAAACGAGATTTAAGGAATTTTAACAATTGTTCGGCTGGAAACTGAAGGAAATTGTAAGAAATTTAATTGCAAGCTTGAAATGTATTTATAAATTAAATATATATTTAAAGTTTTACTTCTATATCTATGTCATTATATCGTATACATATATTTGGATTCCTTTCGTAGGTCCGTCCAAAAGTATGCCACAGTTTTTACATGTTTTTTTTTTTAGAAGCAGCAGCATTTGTTCAGGTAGAAATGTCGCCATATGGAGCGCATACCCTGTAAAAGTAGAATGTCTGTCAAAGGGGCATATCAGCTTCAATTGCTTTTGTACAGGGTATCACCTGGTCGCGCATTAGTAGCGTCTGCTAACTTGGCATTTCCTTTTATTTAGAGTGTTTTTTTTTTCCTGCATTTTTGCGGTTTTCTGACTTGCTTCAAAGTCTCTCAATTAAGTATTAAGTAAGGTGTGTGCGTGTGTTCATGTGCGTGTGTGTGTGTGTGAAATTGTGTTGAAAGCCTGTGGCTTGGGCTGATTTGTAAGATGAAACGTGCAACTGCAACAGAAAAAGCCGCAAAGCACGCAACAATTTCGAAATACAACAGCAGAAAATACTTAATAAATACAATAAAAAATACCAAGAGCCAGAAAATAGCAACGAAACTGGTAGGCAAATGGAAAAATTGATAAATGAAAACGAATTATTATCAAGGTCAAACACCAGGACCGCCCTCCCGCCTTCCGTCCCCTGCCACGCCCCCACTTACCACTGCCTTGGCCCCATTTAATTAACGTTAACTTTTCAAATTTTTTTTTTTTTTTTTTTTTCAATTCAGGGGCGTGGCGCTTGATAAGGCCAAGGTCCATTGTTTGGCCCCTTTGAGCAGGAGGCGGAGTCGAAGCAGTGGGCGTGGCAGTGTCAGCACTTCCTATGATCAAACATTACTTTACATCTATTACAGGGTATCAAAGTGGATGCATTCTTCTAGACAATGAGAAGCGCATAGAAGAGCGAATAGAAATAGAAATGAAGTTAAATAGTTGAGCTTTCTTGTTTCTCTTTCCATCTCTCCCCCTCTCTGTCTCTGTTTTATTCTCTCTAACTCCCTCTCTCTCTCTCTCTCTCTCTTTCTCTCTCTCTCTCTTCCTTCTCTTTCTATATTTCTCCCGCTCTCATTCTCTTTCCTTTAACCTTATCCATTTTATATTCTTTCTCTTTTTCTCCCTCTGTCTCTCTCGCTCTCTCAATATAGTTTCTCTCTCTCTCAATTTGCTTTCTCTTTCTATATATCTTCTGCTCTCGTTTTTTTCATTTGCTCCCTTTATTTCTCATCGCTCTATCTTCTTATTTTACTCTCCCTCTCTCTCTCTCTTTTTCTCCCTCTCGCTATCTCTTTTCACCGCTCTCTCTCTGCATCTTCATCTCTCACTTTCTCATCGAGGGTAACTGAATTTCGAGCTCTTCATCTGAGCTCCACGAGTTTTTCTCTTCTCCTTATCTGCTTCGTCGTCTTCTTCCTGTCGTCTTGTCGATATCGCGTCAATGACGTTTGCCATCGCTGCCGCTGTCGACGTCGCTGCTGGCGTCGCTGTCGCCGCCTATTGACGTCGTAAAATTTGTCACTTTATGGAAATGCCGCAATACAAATACGAAAAAAAAAGCAACACAAATGTTTGCAAGGAAATGCACTGAGAGAAATGAACGTAACTACAGTTAAAGAAAAAGATAGTGAGAGGGAGCGTGGTAGATAGAGAGAGAGAGAGAGAGAGAGAGAGAGGAAGCCTGGTTGGTTCGTTTCAAAATTGTGTTCCTCTCTCACTCTCTCATTCTCTCACTCTTTCACACCGTCATTTCTGTCAGTGTACGCCCGCTCAGCTCTTGTACCGTTAGCTGGACTCGTCTTAGAGCCAGCCTCAGGTGTGACGCCAGAGGACGCGTGGGCGGCTAGCTCCGTCGTCCAGGCACGTGCCAGCTCCACTGGCTGCAAACGCTTTTAATAAAGTAACAAAGCTGACAGCAGAATCCGCTGACAAGGTG